ATAGAGAGAATGCCAGTGCATAGCAGAGATGTGACTCTGGTGAAACAAATTTTTGGGGTTGATGGCAAACTGGGTGTTGCCATGGCTATGAGAAGGCATACATAACCATAAATAGATTCCCTCACACCTAGAGAGGTAGTGTGAGACCGTCAATTGAGATGGCATAAGTAAGTGAGTTTCTCACAACGCTTCAAAGAGCATCATGTGATCGACTCCTCAGTAATTGGTGACAGAATCTTGATATATTTCTTGTGTGTCTGTTTTAGAAAACCTAAGACACTTCTGTTGTAGTGTTTCATTTTATAATTCACCTGCTTCTGTTTGCCTTTGTGGGACATGCTCCAGTGGGACTTGTCCTGTGTCTTTGGAAACTTAAGTGTAAACGTCTAATGCTGACAATATGACAACCTGAACCCACCTGGCTGACAGACCAACGTACTTAATGCCTGACATTTCATAATGTAAATGTGCTGGTGCATTATGTACAACCATTTGAGCAATATGCCACAAGGCTGACGGTGAGATGGCTTTTTGCCTGTAACCCTTTTTCTCAGAATTCCAATGCTGCTCTTCCAGCATTAAGAACTCAGCAGAAATTTGTTTGGTCAGTTGTATTTTAATCTCTGTTTCATTTATTAAAGATGGAATTTGGTTGCTAAGAGTTGTTATAAGTTGTTATCAGTATAATTCTGATAAGGTGACGTAAAAACAGGAAACATTTCATTGGTTTAATGATGACTTTTATGTGCCTAGATTCTCTGTACCAGTTCATTGATTACAGACTAGAATGACACCTTGATGAGTGCTGTCAGGTGTTTCAGATGGGGTTAATTAAAGCCACATGCATAAAAAATTTCAGATTTTGATGACCATCGGTATCAGACCGTGGCAGACAGCAGTCACAGTCATGCCACCCATGAACCCCACCTAGAGGCATTGACAACAAAGGGCTCAAACCAACGTAGAATATAGAGTGCACCACCTTCTCAAGGATCGTATAATAATCCACACATTTACACCAGCAGAATAAAGTGAAACATGGTCTCATGTGCAACTCTGCAAATATTATCTTTAAAATAAATACATTTTAATAAAATTACATTCATTTTAATTACATCTAGGCCCTTTTGGCTGTTGTAGAGGATGCGGTTAATTTATGATTAAATCCAATTTGTGTTGTGACAATTTTCAAGTTAATATATAAAATTTGCTGTGATCTAAACTGGTTAAAAAGGGTTAGTACCATGTGCAAAGTAACAGATTATCCAGATTAGCTATAACACTTTATTTGTAGGTAAACGTGATAGCACCAGCAGCATCACTCATAATCCCATGAAATAAGACATAAAAATGAACTGATGTCCTACTATTGAATGAGACGTATGTCTTAATATGTCTCAACTGCAGCAGGACCTGTTCTTTAGATCTTTCCTTTCCATTACCACAGTGCTGTCCACCTACACAGCTCAATGCCACGAGTTCACACTAGTTCTCCAGGAGCTGTCAGATAGTCTTTCTAGAAAATGCACAGAAACCAGTAACTGAAGCAGAGAGACACAAAGAAAAGATTGACAGAAAGTGCAAATACCAAATAAATAAATAATAATAAAAAAATAAAAGATTCTAACCAAATCACAAAGTATATCCTGGAATGCATTAAAGACCCAGTTTAATGAAACACTGTAGCCAGGGGTCAGGTTTTCTACAGTTTTAAAGAAGGTTATGTTTTGGATTATTACCTAACATAGTACAAAACTTGGGTCAAGACCAGATCATGGATCTTTAGAGAAAATATTTCCCAAAGTCTAGTTTTAAATCAAGACCTTTCAAGCTGAGGGGAAATGCTAATAAACACGTCATACTTTTTTTTTTTTTTTTTACAATGCTGCTGATATTTCAGTACAAATCCTGTATCCATGTCTACAGCCTGCATCTGTGTCTTATGAAAATGATATTTTGTCATCGTTTACTAAATTCAGTACAGGTCATTTAGCTGCTGTGTGCATTTTTACTCACACAACATATGTTTTTCAGTGTTTGCTATATGAGGCTTGTAGGACTCCTGTGGCCAACACTTCACGAGTCATAATTATAACCATCGATCCAATGTGAATAACAGGCTTCAAGGAATGTGGGATGGTTAAAAGATGAGCTTAGTAAATGCCTTAAAGGTTAACTATTAAGAACAGCAGAGCCTGTATCGGTATCCTTTTCACTTTAGCTCCATGGCATGTTGTTGACTCATCTATTTATTTATACAGCAGCTCAGACTGTAAAGACGGAGGACATCAGTTCCTGTTTATAACAGTATCTCTACATATTTAATGCAGGATCCTCTATTCTTGCACGCCTTGCAGTTGTTTGCATCAATTGAAGGAATAGGGGAAAATTGTTCCATAGCTTTTTTGTTTTGAGGGTAAATGCAAATTAGCAGAGACAGAGAAGCAAAAATAACACTGGAAAATTGAAAAATCCTCATAAGGGGTTTTCAGTCTTTTTTTTTTCTTACTTCCACTGTAAGGCCACTTTTTGTCATGAGCTACACTAGTTTGTCAAGTCCACAAAAACACCTGAGGCACTGGGGAATGTCAGTCAGAAGTAAAGTGCAGGACATGGGAACTGGTGATATGTGTTTGACTGTAATTGGTTTTGTTATACACAGGGCTAAGTGATGTGGGTGTAACGCCAAGCTGGGCAGCTGTGGAGCGGTCAGGACATTGACTCATGTAGGGCCAGTCTGAAGAAAAAGGCTCACTTTTTATCAGATTGGCACTTTTTGAGGGAAATGAACCATTTCAGGTTTTTATTTCCTTCGATTCTCAGTCTGTGATAATTACATTTTGATTCTGAAAAAAAAAGAAGCAGTTGTGCCGAGATATCAGCCCTTGCAACAACTGAATGCTTTGTTGTTATTGTTGATGATGATGATGGTGATGATGTTAAGCTTCACAAAGACTTCTCCCATGCTAATTAAAGATTAGAGCAACCTGTATAGCCTTAGATAATCACTTGGGATATAACATAATGTGCCTTTACCTAGATTCCAATTCTTGCTCAGATTCGACTGAAAACAAAGCTTTTCTCGTTTTTAATCCTACATCCAGTATGTGTTGTCTCCAAACACGGAACAAAAATACAACATAAAAGGCAGCTGGTAAAAGAAAGAATAAAATGCTTGGCACCATGTACGACATCGTGCACAAAGACACATCCAGCAGCGCTGCCAGCTACAACACAAGTGAACACACTGCACATCAATGCTTCAAGCAGACAAAGACTCCAGGGACTCAGAGACAAAATTAACCTGGTCGTTTTCAAGTGACTGGGCATCCTGGCTTTCAGAGACCTAACTGACTGGATTCTAATACCAACTTCACTCATTTTCTCCTATGTTGTGTTTTAAGACTGAGGTGGAGGATCTTTTAATAAATTCCAGCAATTGAAACCCTGCTGAAAATGTGGGATTGAAGAGATACGGTTGCTAGTAGGAGCTGAACGCAGGTAAAGGGCATGGTTGACATCACCATGACCTGGACAATGGCATCTAACAGTGTGGCAGACAACACTCACACACTTAGGAAATGCTGACTTTTTGTGCCCTCTAAACTCATTAAAAGACATTCTTCACCATTCGGGGTGTCATCATCTTAAATTTTTACTTTAGTTTTTGTACGGATACCAAAACAGTACTTCAGAGTTGAGATAAGAGCATTTACTGATCAGCAATCAACAGAAAAAAGATGCATCTACTTTCCTATTTCAGCAGAAGTTTAAGTTATTTTTCAAATAAAATGTCAAAAACCTTTGGCTCTAAAGATCCTTTGTACTGTAGGATTTATTTATCTTTATATCACTGTAAACTGAATACATTTGGATTTTTGAACATTGATCTGTGATTCTGAAATAACAAATAGCAACAATTTTGAATCAATAAACTAAAGAAATAAATTACTAAAAAATAAATTACATCATAATCTAATAATAATCAACTGTGCATTTCAAATACCTTTCTTCAAGGAATATGAGTTGTTGTTTTTTTTGTTTTATTTTGTTTTTTTATAAAACATTTTCATATGTATCAAAAGCAGAATTCTAATATACTGAGGTTTAATACCCAGACTGGTGCAACTGCCGCTGGTCATCTGATTAGGGAATGTGTTTCACACTGAACTCAAATACAAATCCAGTAATTGAGCGATAATGTCCTCCCTCCGTCACGTCAGACTCCTGCCACACTGGTAAAATGCTGTTCTTATTCCTGCCATTACATGAAAGAATCCAAGGCTAACAAGCAAAAAGCCTGAGAAGAGTGGATGCTCCTCAGCTCTAATGTTTGCAGGTGCTTTGGAGCCTGTGGCTCAGGAAACCTGGCTTCAGAAAAGGAGGGGGAGGGCTGAAATTGCTTAACCTCTCCCACAACCTACAGCTCTACTTGAAAATCCTGCCCGCTGGTCAGGGATGCTTCGTGCTCCACATGAACAGCTATCCCGACATCAATTCAGCTGCTCAGACTGAGGAAGCTACTCAGACAAAGCCCCCTTCTCTCATTCTCCCTTCTGTACTGTCTCCCCAACAAATATTAACCGTCACCTGGTCGATGCATTTTTAGGACCAGCCTAAATTTGTGATCACATTATTAAGGCTTTAAAAAAATCTCACTTGAAATTACAGAATAAAACAGCTAACCTGTTATTCTCCTAATGCTATTCTGTGCTAGAATTCCTTATTTCACTGAAACCCAAGTATTCATTCTATGTTGATGAAACATCAATTGTTTCATTTCATAACTTGAATGTTTAAGCAAAGAAGTGGGGGACTGTGCATCTCTTTTACTCTCTCTCTCTCTCTCTCTCTCACTCACACACACACACATTAAACAGACAGATACTTCTCCCGAGGACAGTGTGTCCACCTGACGGCCGACATAAGCACACTTTGAGCTCCTCTGCATTCGCGCATATGGCAGGTAATGTTTAAACTGATCATAATAATTGACTTACACTGCTGTTCTGGCCGGACCAGTGCACCATAGCCTGGTTGTGAGATGAATCCCCGGTCAGGGCAAACGTCGAACTGTTAAGTTTTAGCTCCTCCTGCCTCGGACCCACGGCTCTCCGCTCCTCTCTGCTCCAGCGCAATTCAGAGCGCGTCACTCTGCGTCCAGCCGCCGATCTGGTTCCATCTCCCGGGTCTTGAGTCTGGGCTGAAGCGGGATCATCTTTGTCACTGTTCCTTCTGGGACGCTTTCTGTTCCGTGTGGCAGAGATAAAACCAGTACCATCACTAGTTTTCTGCTGACCACTCATTTTGACGTGTGAAACTTTATTCTTTGCATACTCGCTCGCACCAGTTACACCTTTTGCGTTCAAGTTGTCTGTATTCCGTTTCAGCCTTAGCTCCTTCGGATCTGAAGCGCACTCAGCGGTCCCAGTTGCGCAAACGAGCTGCCGACTTTCGGCACTTGTAGTCCCGGATCTCTCTTCCCAGTCCCCGTGTCCAAAAACTTCACCCTTAAACTCTTTTGCAGATTCATTTGCGTCAAATTTCAGCAGTAATTGCTGCGCACGCCACTTATTTCCAGGTTGGCATGACCTGCAAGTTATCTCAGCTTTGGCGGCATAAAATAAACAGAGTATCATCAAACGCGAAAACCAAAGCGCGCTGTGCCACTTTGGCCAAAAAATGACCCCCCTCTCCATTGCTGGCGACAGAGACGGATGCTGTGGATGCAGGCGGTCCTTTTCCCCACTCCTCTCTCTGCCTCTTCAGTGTGTAAATTGCCGTTCGGCTGTAGGAGAGGAACTGCTGCGCAAGTTGTGGCGTTGCCCAAATGCAGTGCTGTAAAAAGTGCTACTGAGCCTAAGTGGTCCAAGTTGAAGGATTTGATCAACTGAAGCACTGCACGTATGGGGGAGGAGCTGAGGACCCAGACTGGAGATGGAGGATAATGTTGCAACTGTCTTTCTCCATATATTGTTATTTCCCACCATATGGGCAGTTATAATTAAAGCACTCAGTAATATAGTCATTTTGTTCTGTTGCTCTTTTATTTCTCCTCACAGCCACATTTCAGAGGGATCATCCTCGTAGTGATTTTATCACCAGCCTCCCTCCAGGGAAAGTATACTTCACTTAATTTAGCAAATGAAACCGAATTGTTTTACCTACTGTGTGATGAACCTGTTTAGAGTCAGTCGTTTTGGGTCTCAACAGAGGCTTTCGGTAATTGGAACATATTAATACATTTTCAATTAAGCTCCGTGTCAGACACGTAGATTCTATGACTTATTAAACCGCAATAAAGAATTCAACAGCCCACATAGGAACTGGGATTTTTCTCAAATCATTTCTATCTGCATGTGGTTTGCATCTGATCATGCTTCCCTACAGGATGATATGATGGTGCTGCATTTGGTGTGTATGCACCAGACCAGCTGAGGCCAAGCTGGGAAATCACCGAGGTGAAACATTCAACCCCGATTGAGTCATGAATATATACATTCTTTGCCAAAGAGAGAGAGAGACAGAGAGACACAGAGAGAGAGAGAAAGAGAGAGAGAGACATCATGTTCAACCATATCATTTTGTCCCAGCAAAAATTCAGTCTCAGGCAACAAGAATGAGTGGAAACAAGACGACTGGAAGTTTGTCTCTTTAATACTGGCACTGCAGCTCTCTGTCTAATGTGATTTCTGATTAGTACCACAAATGAATATACAAATGGTCACAGACTACTACAACAGCTGGCTAGTTTAGTTCACAGCAGAGGATGCTGCCAGGAGGGAATAAAATGGGCAGATTGTGCCTTGAGAGGTCATTCGTTTTACCACAAGCTATACTGTACCACAAATTAAGATTAATGAGTAAAGGATTGTAGACTTTGTGTCAAATTCTACCAAAAGGCACATTTCATTTTGGTGTCCTGTTTAGATGAATGCTTCCTCTTAACACATGTGTTCTGAGCATGTGTTGAATATAATTACTTTGGTTTCAGGACAGCCATGTGTTGATAATAACTCATCTGTGCTGACTACAACTCAGTACTGCTCATTCTGCCACATTCGTTCTTCGTTGGAGCGTGGAACTAGTTCCTGAGCCACCAGTTTACCCACCTTTTTTCTCTTCACACTGCATGAATCATAACAAAGTCATTTGATTATATTCATGTTTTAAATAGAACTTGCACTGGTTCCTAACTATATTACATGGGGACAAAGTTTTTAATAAAATATTACCTGTATCTTTTCAAAATGAAACTGTTTGGTTTTCTGTTATTTGATTTATTAGACAGTTTAGCAGAAACACTTTGTATTCACCATCATATCACCATTTAAATGATCAGTCACCCAAATGAAATCCAAACTGAGTGTCACAAACAAACCCTGTTGGCAGAAGAACTCTCCGAGACGGCGTCAGCCCTGTGCAGTATGCTGAGGCATTCTCCGAGGTCCTGAACCTGGTGTCAGCAGCTAGGAAGCTATCTGCGGTGCTCCACCTGTCCGCATCAGTGGCAAAGGTTAGCACCGCTGTGATGTCAAATTCTTAACCTCAGCCGTTCTTTTGACCCAGTATCCGTATGGCAATTACATCCATGTTAGGCTATTTCACATTACCTGTTTACTTAACTTGTTACTACATAGTTGCTTATCAAACAGATAAAAAGCAGTATTATCATTCATTTGGGAGTGTGTTTCTGTCCAACAATATTCATTCTCTTATAGCTTTGCTTTTGGTCTCTACCAACTTCTGACAGAAGCATCTGACTCTTTAGCTCCTATATGCTTTGATATGCTCATAGCTTGATAACTTTGTCGGTTTACAGTATTACCTATTGGACAGTTAGAGTACAGTGAGTTTTTAGAGCTGGTTTGCTGAAAGCAGCTGCCTGCTGTGTCCAATGTTTGTAGAGCGACGAGAGGGAACCAGAACAACAAGCTGAGACTATAAAGCCTCAGGTTCTGGTGAAAATTCTCTATAAGTTTATCATGAAGAGCAACCTCATTCACATTTTCACATTGTTTTCACATTAATATAATTCAGTGAATTAAACCGATTAAGCAAACCATTCATTTTCCACAGCTTATTTGATCTTCACCCAACTTTAAACATACCACAGTTTCTGTGCACAGATATTGTAGAAAGCAAGAATTAAGACGTTGGTATTGGATGTACATTACAACTCCTAAGTCTTATCTACAATAGAGGCTTTCAGACCTGTGGATAAGCTATCCGATCAAGACTCGCATAAATCCAAGGGGATCCAAAGATAATAAGAGCCAATCTGAAATCTGATTGAGCCAAACATTCAGAGATAGAACACCAAGGCTGGCTGAGGCAGCTGCAGCCAAAAATACTGTAGTAGCAATACAAACAAATTTTCCTGGTGCACAATTTATTCTTGCGGCACTTCAAAAAAATAAATAAATAAACATTTTTCTCCAGTGGTGATTATTAAGCACTGCATGATCAGCGCATATAATAGTGAGTGTGATTTATCTTAGATTCCTGAGGCGCTAATCCTGCAAAGGTACGCCACTGAATACAGCCCAACATAGTGCAGGTTTGGTTTGATCTGAATGAGACCTGTGAAGTTGTCCAATCTACACTATCCTTGCCTTTAACTGCTCTGTTATAGCTACATACAAAACTGTCTGCATAGGGGTACAAGAGAAAACATGTTTTTTGTAATAGGGATGCAATGACCCCTTAAATTACACTCTTAAACTAAAGTCTGATTACACCCTCCCTTTTTTTGGGAGCGATCCTCCCCCAACCGTGTCCTACCAGAGGCATTAAAGATGATAAGTGTTGCCTCTCCTCATGGCACACAGCATTAAGCAGACATATTGTAGCGGATTAATGGTGCTGCAATGGACAAGGCCCACATGGCTTGCAGACACTTATCAGCCAGTCTCTGCCATGGGGGTGTGTGTGTGTGTGTGTGTGTGTGTGTGTGTGTGTCTCATCATCTCCTGTCCTCGCCTGGACTCACTATCTATTCACAGGGAATCAATGTCCTGCCAATAGCAGAAATGGATTTTTGAGATTGTTGCAAGTGGCAGTATGCAGGCCTGAGTTGTCTGATTTGTAAGTACCTGCTCAGTCTATGAATACACAACAAGGTGAATAGCTTCAGAAATGAGTGGGAAATGTTCTTGTATGCAATGGAGAGGCCAGAGAATCTGCCCTCTGGTCCGACACAGGCTTATGTTAAAGAGAGAATGATTGAAAGCCCTTTCAAAGACTGTTGGCGCCTCACAGTTGGTCCTTGCTTCGCATACATATACTATTTGCCTGCTTTGTAACATGTTTATTGACACTGTAAAAAATAAGTATTTTTACAACCCAATCAAATTGTTTGTTTGTTTAGCTTGTCTGGTTTTTCAGATAAATGCTGTATGTTAAATACCCTCCAAACTCACAGTCCTTGTGTGACCTTCTTTTCTCTTTCAAAGCCACGGCTTCATATTATTTCAGTCATTCGATCGAACCACTCATAAAGTCTCTTTTCACAACTTTTACAGCATTGTTCCCCCCACCTTGCTCGACTCCCAGGGTTACCCTCAGCCCAGTAAAAGCTTTAGAGTATTAATACCAACAAGACTTGGAGTCAGTGGAACAAATGGTGATGTACTTTTGTTCTGAGCCAGACATTCCCCTTTCTAACAAGAAAGTCAGAAACTAAAGAAGCCCAGGTCATGAACAGCAAAGCTTGTGTTTTAAGGGTTCTAGGTGAACAAGCAAGAGTTGTAAAAGGGAAGTCAACCCCCACCAAAAGAACAGGAGGAGGGATTAAGAAAATGGCTCTTTTATATTCTCTGTGTTCAACTCAAATGGAAAGTTACTTGAAATAAATAAGTTTCCCAGTTACATATACATTATTTGTATTCATTTGCTGCAAAGAGTGGACATGGGGTCAGGAGCAATCATTTTGCCGTGGGCTCATGGAGAGGGGTTCAACATCTGAGTTCAGCATCTTTCAGTTTCTAACACTTTCTGGCATGTTTGTGTCTCAGTCTGTCATTAATTGCAAAGCCATCCATCCATAACAGTATGAGTTTCTGAGATACAGGCTGCAGCCTAAATCAAAGCCAATCCTTCATGAGAAAAAACAAAAAACAATCTACAGAAATAGCCCAGTGGTTAGTTAGGATTCCGTTTCCAATTCACGCATTGAATTTCAAGTGGTGTCCCAAATTGGCTGAGCCGGACTACAGTTCTGCTCTGCACTGTCATGGTGTTTGAAAAGCAGTAATTGGATAATCCTTTTTAAGGTGGTGATAAAACCCCAAACCTATGTGAGAGGCCTCCCAGATGGATATGGCTAGAGTCTTCTCCAACAAGATGTACATTATAGTAACCTTGACACCATCAGTGCAGTGTGTGTGACTATCCTGTTAGAAACTCTTCCTCCCAACACCACTACACACACACTTCATGTACACGTCTTCTCTATAGAGATAAATTCTTAGCAAAGAGTAGCTTTTATTCATTCCCCTCACACTGGACTTTATCTTAGAGCAGTTTATGCTCCACTGCCCAGGTTCCAAAGGCACTTTTGGGGCCAGGTTTTAATCCTTTTTGCAGTCTCTTTAGCTCATTTAGTACAAATATAAAAGCCACAAATTGATGTTTTCTTGCAATATACCTTATAGCTCAACAAAGCTACTGTTGTGGGTGGTTGAAATTGTAATTGTCAGTGGACAACAAGGGAAGAAGGGGGGACTTCTCTGTCTACTGAAGGAGTCTGTTCACCACACAGTAACTTCATTCATATGGTTTAGGAAACGTGCATATTTCCCACACAAAGCCAGCTCTCACCAGCAGCACGTAGATTGTTCTCAGATGTGC